GGTATTTAGTATGTTGATGTTAATCCTTCATAGGATCAATGAAGAAGTAATACCCTTTAGCAACAATTACACCATTAAATCATAAGCCCGATCTATTCAATTATAGACCTACTTGAAAATGATTTCAGTATCTGAGCTGTGAAAGCTTATGTAATAAATCAAATGGTATTAAGTTTGAAACTTGATTTAAATATAATCTTCGTGTTAATTTGAGCAAAATAGATATAAAAGATCTCAACAATATTCGTAGTCAGCAAAAAATAAAAAAAGCAAATTTCTGGATATTCCTCTATCGAAAATCAAGAAAATATCTTTAAATAAAAGAAGAAATATGGGATTAGTCTTTGATGATAAGTCTGAGATATCTGCAATTTAAAATCTAAAAAAAAAAAAATCCTATTACTCATCAGTCAAGTAAAATTCAATTTCTCAAAATCCTAAGATATATTTATTAAAGCAGCAGTAAATAAATAGATTAAAGTTTTTTTGCAGTGTGGTTCTTATCAACTTTAAATCATCAGCATCTTTTATATAAGAGTAAATTTCGCTTTTTTATAATTACATTTTCTAAAATATTATTTTAAGCAATTAGTTTATAAAATTCAAAATAATTTTCAATTTTCTGTAGGTCTATATATATATTTTTTTTAAATTAATTTTTAGGATATAACATTATATTATATAGGTCAATTAGAAAAAAAGTTTTGTATTGATTTATACTGTAAAATACACTTAACAGTAAACAAACTATTTTTTCTTTTTTCTAACTCCGAAATTGGATAAAACTCAAATAATTTTTACTTTTATTATATTTACTAAAGAGATTACGAAAAGTTGGCAATTATCAAAAATATTTCTTTCGTTTAACTTGAAAGTTTATATTATTAATTGCTAATTTTTTATTGTATCATATTTTCAAAATTTTACTGTTAAAAATGCTCAAAATTGTTCCATTTTTTAATCTTTATGCAAAATCTGGAGACAAAAGTGGTGAATCCAGCAATATTCAACGATCTGTTAAAGCAATTTTTGTTGAATCTTTGAACGGGGAGACGTTATTGGTCGACCATTTCTTTTCTTTTTAAAACACAGCTTGAATTCTCTACCAGATCACTATAGAGTTTTTGAGTATAAGAACGTTTTCCAACTTCAAATATATACAGCGTAAAGGCTCGAAGGAAAAAAAAAACATACAAGACTTTGTAAATATACACATTCGAAATGATGAAATTTACCATAAATCCGAAATGCTGTATGATAAATTTCAGTGTCGCATTTGGTAAATTTTGCATGTTACACAGCTGAAGACCGAAGAACACGATTAGGATGAATATTGATAATGTGTTATGAAATTCTTTTTGTTTATTACAATGAAAACTTTAATTAATTAAGTATAAAAATATCAACTTTTGCTTATTTTCTATTAGATTAATCCATTGTAAGCAAAAAAAAAAATATTCTGAATTTTTATTGAAACCAGAGAATTCGAAATTAATCCGAACATATTTTGTTATATTATTTTAAGTTAGAAAATTCGATATTTTAAAATTTATACCGCAAATAATTTAATTACATTTGATAAGAGAAAGTAATTGTATTTCATGTTTCATCATTCACCAAGTATTGTCTCGAATTCGGAATATACGGCATTTCTTTCTAATCCAGTCTATTTTTACATTGATTTTTTTTGAAATTTTAAATGAATTTCTTATTTTTCTTTTCCATTTTAAATTTAATCGTGGATTTTCTGGCTAATTCAATATTATCGGAATTGTTCATTGTTGAATACAACAGTTCAAATGTACAGAATATTAATTAAACAAAAATACAAAACATGGGATTGAAGAGATTCCAGTATATCATTAGAATAATGATATAAATACACTGTACAGTATAGAATCCAATGAGATAAATAGGGGATATAGGCCTAACTGATCATCTTTCCAATTCGAAACAATGAAATTTGATCTCTTTGTCCTCTTGTCGTTGATTTTCCACTTATATAAATACGCAATGAAAACAATTTACAGTATATTATGTAAGCTTATATGCATTTCAAAGATGATTTATATCCATTCTAAAAATATGATTCTTGAATGAAAATTCATCTCTAAACGATTTCTCTATCAATGAAAATTGGATTGAATTTCTGGTATATTTTCCAATTGAAATTATTGATTCTGATGTGAAAATGTGTCGTGAGGAAAAAAATATTTGTAAATATTTCGAGGTTGATTATTAAAATTACAATTTTTTTCCTAAAAAATTATTTTTAACGAATATAAATACGCGTTACTAAATATATTTACTTGAAAAATTAGACTTGAAAACGAGTTGTTACTTATCAAAATTTCACAAGATGCCAATTTGATAATATTAAAATATTCAAAGATTTTCGAAAAATTTATATGGAAAAATTCTTTCGTGGGTTCAAAATAAAATTTGTAGTTGCTCATTTAACGGGAGAATAAATCGTTATATAAGACATAAGAATATGAGAATTACAAGAAACTATTCATAGGCAATTTCGAATAAATCTACCTCACTACTGGAATACAGCAGTTGTAACAGTAGAATCTAATATCTTCAGATTTATCTTACATAAGACTACCTATAAAAAAATATGGATTAAACGAATCGAAAACCATTTTTTCTCAAACTTTTCCAAAAATCAGTTGTTTTAAAAGTTTCTCGATAAAAAAATATATATATTTACAGCAACTAAACACTCTCTACAGCTGAAACAAAGGATAAGTAACAAGAAGTGTTATCGGGCTGTTTAATATTATCATAATCAATTTATCAATAGATAATGTAACCAAGTAACACTATATTTATTGCAAAAATATTATAATGATGATTTCATCAATTAAAAAGTAATCATATCTCCGATCAAAGCTTTCATATTGGAATCAGCATCAGCTTGAATATTAACTGTATATGAAATACAGTTAATATCCAAGAGTTATCTCTGTAACTTTCGATTTCTATATGGATAATCCAGATTCTTTTCCTGAATTCAATTTTAATAAATTCAATTTCTGAGGCTATCTTTCCGTCCAGCTTCTACTGATCATCTTTCACGGTCCCCATCTTCTTAAAACGACTAGTATCATCCCGAGCCGGTCATCAATTCCCGTTTCATCTTCGAAATCAGATCAGACATATTTATAGACAGCTTGGCCATCTTTCTATCAATTTAAGTGGTTGCAACAGTCCATCCATTTATTAATGATATCAATCATTTCGATCCTTAAAAATCCCATATTTGAAATTAGTTTTAACGTAAACACGGGGAGAGTGAAGTGTTTTAAATTGATCTCGTCATGAAAGCGGCAATAATTGCTTCCGTTACAAGATCAACTTAACTAATTAAATTATCCAATTAATTGAAAAAAAAGTATTGAAAGTTTCCAAACTCAAGAAAGCTTGCTGAAATTTATCCAAAATTTTAGAAATACCGCAGGGTTATCAAGAGCTTGTATGGAGTTAAGCGGTTCCAATTAAGGGCCTTCTGACCCTTTACGAGCCCCTTTTGCCATTTTATGTTTTTTAACAAATAAAATACGTAGAATGTTTCCTTATTAACAAAACAAAATCGTGGTGATTTTGTTTTTTTAGCGAAAATAACATTAAATTAGAGATGTAGGGACTATTACAAACCCATAAGATTTCTAATGGCGCGGGGAAAAATCCCTTACTCCTTCTTCTCAATAGCCCTGGAGTTACATGATAAGATTACACAATACATACTATATAACACAAGATTCTACTATACTACATAACACAAGATTCTACTATACTACATAACACAAGATTCTACTGTACTACATAACACAAGATTCACTGTGTTACGTAGTACAGTATATATTAAGTATAAAAATAAAATTTTGCATAGATGAGAATACATATTATATTTTAATGACGTATATATTTAAAACATATCTATTATCAGTTAAAAATAGAAAAAAAAACTTAAAAAAACACTTACATAAAGGATACTAAAGATTGAAATCTGTAATCTATTTATATCCTTTAAATGGAGATTAAGCACTCGAAGGTCCTAATAAACACATGCACACAAATTTAGCACGGGTATTTCTGTAAATTCCACCAATATCATTTATTAAATGTGCCATACTGATATAGATTTCGAAAATAGTTCTCAAGTTATCAAAATCCAGCTGAAGTCAGCATATTCATGACACACTTAAAAAAAAAAAATCCTACTGAAAATACATTATTCAAACATATGGTATTTAATCTGAGTCTTCTATTCTTACTTTTGCCATTTTGAAGTAGACATATTTAAGTAAGTAAATAATAATGCAAGCTCATGCGCTTATAAATAGTAAGATAAAGATATAAATAAAATTATTTTAAAAATATATAATAATGCACTATGCATTTAATTAAAATATAAATACATTAAAAATATATAATTAAATTTGGCATTAAAAAAAGTCATCCTATATTTTATATAATTGCATTAATATTCATGTAACGGAATTGAACGTATTTAAGATTTTTATTTTTTTTTTTTTATTAAACATAAAATATTACAATTCATTATAAAATTCTTCCTTCCGTTAAGAGGTAATTAATCGAAGGATCGTATTTTTTCGAGAAGAGAATTTTTTTTAATACAATAATTTGCACTTTTTACACACCTTAATTAATTTTAAATCAAAAAAAAATTACGTTCATCTACTTACGAAGAAGATAATTCGAAGAGTTAAAGAAAGAATATTTAATCTGAAATAAATTAAGATCCGTTTTATTTTTATTTTCTACTTAAAAAATAAAAAAAAAAAGAAAATTTTCTCATATATAGCCTATATATATATATATATATAAAATTTTTTAATGCAAAAGGAGAAAATAAATTTATCAAATAAGCAATAGGCAATTTGGTGCGAGAGAGAATAATAATAATAATAATAAAAAAAATCGATCAAAACATAGTTTTAAAATTGCATAAAGAATGTTTTTTAACCCACCAGTTGCTCGAGAAACTTCTTCATAAATGTTTTAAGAATAAGAATTAATAAATAATGTCCATCGTCACACAACACAACGAGATAATAAATATCCTTAGCCTAAGTTGAAGAAGATACATCATGATTATCAATCTCTGACAGTTTATCTAAGATACTCGAGACGGCAATACTCACCCGGACGAACTAGATGAACGACATTTCTCTAAAGTCACTCGTGACAATGTCTCCTATCCGAAAGACCCGGTGACAGTTCTAGCATCTGCCTTCGGGCAACAGGCTATGCACTTGCGACGTCGTCATGGCAGCTCCAGAACTCTCTACCTGCCTCGTCGATGCCTTAGTCACGTGGGATGCTTGCAGAGATCCTGGTGGACATCGTCTACTAAAATCATTTTTCAATTTTTATAATTCGATTATTTAATATAATTAATATCTTTCATCTTCGTTACTTTATATATAAATATAATCGTTCCCGTCCGTACTCACTTCTGTAATTTAAAACAAAAGTGTAGATTGTTTTCTAATATACAAGTCGGCCATGTTGATTTTTAGATGATTGTTAAATATCCTTACCATTTTAAATTTATTAATAAAATATTTATGAATTACGTCACATTTTTAGAGTTTTATCCGCCCTAAAAAGTGATAAAATCTATAAAATGCATTAAATTATTATTATTTTTTTAAAAAAATATTTTCTGGTTACTTATCAAAATTTCACAAGATGCCAATTTGATAATATTAAAATATTCAAAGATTTTCGAAAAATTTATATGGAAAAATTCTTTCGTGGGTTNTGGCAGACACTACATACAAATTCTTCATATAAACATTAATTAATTATTTTTATTTTATAATTTTTATATTATTTCAAGGAGAAAACCGTACATTTTTACACTTATACTGTCACAGTATACAGTAAATATAAGAGGGAGTTTTTTTTCGCATGTAGAAAGGTAATGTTACGTTATATAAGATGCCAGAACTTCAAATGAAATGGAGAAACTCGTGTATAGAGACTTTTAACCATATACTTCATCGATTTTTCTCGGCAATGCTTTTAAAGTAAACAACTTTAACGAATGATATAAATTTATACGTTTTCTACTTAAAACCGTCGAAAGGTATTAAATACTAATTGATGTTTTATTTAAAACTTCAAACATTAATGCCGTACGAATTTATAAAATAGTTCTTGTTCTATCGATTTAGACGACATTTTCCATTACAAATTTGATATTATATAAACTTAAAATAATTTTAATAGATTGAAGCAAATCAATAAAAATGGCGTCGAAAGTTGTTCTTAATCTGTTCTTGATATATCGTAAGTAAAATAAGTATAAAAATTGTCAAAGAATTTATCTGAATCGAGCAACTCCTACAAGAAGAGAATGCGATGCCTTCTGACGTATCGATTTTTCCTTTCTTTTTTTAATTTTATTTTATTAAAAAAAAGAAAAAAAAGCAAGATTTTTCGAAGTAGTAAAATTATCATATCATCCAAATGCAATCTGATTACAAATAGATAATGATAATTTAGAAATATCATCATGATTTATTTTGATAGCCATTCGCTATGTTATATTTATTAAAATCAATATTAAATATATATATATATATATATATATTTTTCCTTCGATAAAAATTTACATATATCATTTTAAAACGGTTCCTTTCTTTTTTTTTACAATAAAATTAAATTCATAAGAGTTATAAAGCGATTTTTTTCTAAATAAATAAATAAATAAATCGAATTTTTCATTAATTAAATGAAAACATCTCAACACTTTATATAATTATTTTAAATTTGCACATCAACCATCGAATAATTTAAATGTTTTCAATTAAAGAATATATATGTTTATTATTTTTAAATATTAATTTTTCTTAAAATAAAATGTATTTTTAATAACAATTTCTAACGTAAAACCTTAAGTATCATTAAATACTCATAAAGGTCAGTTTGAATTTTTGCATTAAGCGCCAAACATTTTTATTTTTTATTTTTTTCTCCCCTTTCTAAACACAGATTTTTGTAAAAGAAAATTCTTTTAAAAAAGTAAATAAACTGCTTTTTTTTTTAAAAAAATAAATTAAAATAACTATTGAAGAGTTAACTATAAATTTTTCTACTTTAAAAATATATATATCAGTTAAAATTTCATTAAAATAAATCACCAGATTTAAGTTATTTACTACTAAAAACACTATAGGAAATGTAAAAAGTAATAAATTTTTAAGCTATTTAAACGTAAGCGGGTTCTTTATTTTAAAAAAAAATCTTATTATAAGTTATAAAATGAGAATATTTAAATAAAGTTAAAGTTTATTTATTACAAATAATGTATTTCTTGTTACGAAAAATCACTCGAAAACATAGAATAACAAATAATATAAAAGTGTAAAATGCATTTCGTAAGTTGTTACGAAAGGAAAATAAGCAGAAATGTATAAATTTTCTGTCGAACATATTTAAATTACAATCATTCGAAGTCAGTAAGTAACCTTGCAATGTTTATTATGCAATTTTCTCCGAGAGAGAGAGAGTAATTTATGAACAGTAATTATCTCTAATTACTATGATAGATGAGATTCTTTTCATAATTTTTTATTTACAGTTTAGCAGTTATCAATTAAATATATTTATAATAATAATTAAAAGAGAAAATTTATGATATACCGAATAAAAACACGATTTTATTTTCGTAAATAAATAAAAAAAAATTAAAAAAAAAATAAATTTTCCTTCTTACAATATGTATATGTGTTTAAAATTGAACATAAAGATATACATTTTTTTTTTAAAAATATATATATTCGATTTGCTATAACTGAGCACATTTCGAGCGAGGAAAGAATTTCTTCAACTTGGGAATGATATATGATGTCAATAGTTTGAAAATGTTTTTTTGTTGAATTGTCATTTAACGGTCAACAAACGTTAACCTCAATAAATCTCCATCTAAATATTTTATAAATTATGAAACTTGTCTGCTTACACTTTCGTTGACGAAAAATTTACAAATTGGATGTCTTCGATCATTTACGAGGCTAATTAAAATTATTAAAGTATTAAAAATTCGCTGGCTACACATTAGATTCTTAGATACGTCCATTGGAGTAGTGAGGAAATTCATGCTTTCACACACACAAACACACACAGGGAGAGAGAAAAACATGGAGTTGACACAGCACTTTATTTCTTGCTCGACTGGATAAATGCCGCTTAAATATATGATTTAGATCAGAAACGTTTCACATATAGGATCCATTCTAAACTTTTATATACTTTCATTTTTCAAAAACTTATTTCTAAATTTAACGTTTTAAGAAATTAATTATACATGGAAATTTCTATTTATTGAATTATTCCGAAGAATGAAAGTCTTTTTTTTTATATGACAATTAAAAATTAATGAGACGTTAGAAGAGAATAAAATAATTAATTTAAAACACTTTTAAAATATTTTAAGCTTTACAAACATTTTCTTATCTCCTTTCTAAAAAAGCTACTTGATTAAATTATGTATTTCGGTCATAAGAATCATTTTCTCTCTCTCTCTTTCTAACAAGATGAATCGAACACTGAAATTTTTAAATTAAATAAACAAGCTTTTAGATACAAACATTTGTAATTTTGTTGATTTAAAGGCAATTTGTAAATATTTACTAAGCTTAAGTAACGATTTTTCTAAATGTTAAAAGTTCCTATTAGATGAAGTTAATTAATTATAATTACTATATACAAAAATTTATCTCATTGGTCAGCAATTTCCAAATTTATAGAATTATAGATTTTTCACTGTCGTCCGTCCGTTCGTCTGTCAGTCTATTCTTCCTTAATCTGTAGTCAGATAGATGAAAATTGAGATCAGTCTCAATTTAATTACAGTCGACCCACCTATAACACTGTTGATAATTCCGTTTTATATGAATTCCATGTTGTACGAGTCACTTAGATTTTACAAATACGTGAGCTGGGCTGTGAACGGCTCACGTATTTGTAAAATCTAAGTGACTCGTACAACATGGAATTCATCTAAAACGGAATTATCAACAGTGTTATGGGGGGGTCGACTGTTATATACGAATTCCCGTGTGGGCCGGAAGTGACGTGATTTTCTAAATTAAAGTATTAAAATATCAGCCCGCATTGTGACGATGTTACAGTAACTAAACGATGTTTTTTACGTGCTGTGTCTCTTGAAATTAACCAAGAAAAATTATTTTAAATATTTATAATTTTAATCTGATAAATTTAATCTATAAAATATATATTATATCAAATAAAATTAAATTAAAATTCTGTAAATTGAGTAAATATACGTGTTAAAAACTTATACGTATCTTCTAAACAAGGTTCTTCTACGAGTTTGAATTAGTTAATCATAATTAATTGATTAGTTTTATTATATTTAAGACCATTATAATATGCCTTTAAGTGAATATACTGTGATATGAAAGCATTAATCATAACGCACTTAATTTGTTTATTACCATTTTAAAAATAAAGTAAACTTGTTATATAAGAAGGAAACTCTTCATTCTTTATTACAGCTTTAATTATTTAAATCAATAACAAATATAATTATAATTTAATACTTTAAAATTGTATTTTAAAAATAATAAAATTTCTTGTTTTTCTTTTTTTGATATTTTAATAAACATAATAATAATAAAAATATATTTTACAGGAAACAATTTTTATGAGTCACTCGATATCGATATCGAAATAGAGAAGACTTTTTCAATGACAACAACGGCATTGAAGAATTATGGTACTGAACTTAGTCTTTGATGATACTTTAAAGTATTGTCTCTATATATCAATGTTTTCGATAAATTTTACGATCAAATCAGACAGGACAATCAAAAACAAAGGCTTAAATTTAAAGAATATCTAAGCATGAAAATCTCGAATTTGTTATTGAAGTTCCATCATAATTTCTTACTTGTCGTCGGTTCGTGCCTCAACAAAGAGTAATAACGTGGAGTTTCCCGGATTTTTTTACGATTGTTACACGTAAATATGGCCAGTTTAACATAGAAAATCCTCCCCGAACTCATCTCCATCGACAGATTCTCCGAAACAAGGCAAAAACAAACAAACAGTGCAATTTCTACTATTATTTATACGAAATTTAGATAAGATTAAAACAAATTATATATAAAATTTATTAAAAACGGAACTCTATATATTTAAAACTGTAAAATAATCCAAATATAATATGCTATTTAAGACTTTACATTCGACAAAAATAATGATATGCTGAATAAGAAATATTTCTTGTAGTTGACAAAATTTAAAATCCTCTTTTATATTCG